CCACGATTTTTGGCAATTTCATCAATTTCGTATTTTTAAAATTTTTCTTTATGAAGGGCACACAACGAATAAAGTTCCTTTCTTATAGATTCGGGATGGTACGTAATATTTTTTGAACTCAGCCAATTCTGCAAGTCTTTTTTTAACCACTTGGTTGTGGGCAGTCCTTCTATAAGTCTGGAGTGATAACTTGCATTATCCATTACTATTACACAGTTTTTTATTACACGCTTAGGAAGAAGATCTATCATTTATTAGAACCATTCTTGAAAGACATCAGCGTTCATGTCTTCATGGTAGTCACCGGTACGAGTTGATTTAAAAGTTAATAAACCACCTTCAACAAAACCGTCTGAACTACCAATGTGTACTATTATCAGCCTGCGTCCCTTTCCTGATGGTGGGTTTAAACCAGTAGATAAGTTATTTACAAAAGCGTGCCTTTGACTTGTAACAGTTTCATCCTGCCAAAATTTATTTGGTGTATGACCCTCGTTGATCCATGTTTCATCAAGATAAAATATTTTTCTTTTTTGGTTTCTCATTTCCTTTATGGTTCTTAGAAAATGTCTTCTCCATATGACAATATCGCTTCTTTCTAATAAAATAGACTTTCTGGGATTCTTTTTCCAGCGGAAGCCTATTTCTTTTAAACGTTTCCATAACGTACTTCGACTCATTTCTGGGTAATCCTTATCATCTCGAACTGAGACAAGAACTTTATCCAATGTTGGAAATTCTTGTCTAAAGAAGAATTCATGCACTTTCCGTCGAAGTCCTTCTTTAAAATGATATTCTATTTGAAATTTTGGTTTCCCTGGAGCATTACGTGGCATTTGAAAACTACCACATTTCTCTTCTTTAATAACTCTGTAAATCGTAGATTTCCCAACACCAAGTGTACTGCTAACTAACTCAACGGTCTCATCAACACTTTCACATAAACGTTTGTCTGTAAATGATTTAAAACAATTAAATATTAATGTTTCATTAACTGTTAAAGGACCAATTTTTCGGCGTTTACACGGCACTTCCAAATTTTCCATAACACTAGTATACACAATAAACTGCACCTTGCAACTGAAGTACCTACTTTTAGTGAACTGTTAAGAATTTTGAATACGCCACTTGGACCTTCCTACAAAATGGAAAAACCCACTATCACATTTTCTGTGGAATAAGTTTAGAAGGTAATTATCTAGTCAATTACTGTCGTAGATTCCTGGAATTAAAGAATTAAATGTTTGATTGTTGAAACCCTTACTTCGTGGAATGCACTCATTTCAGATAAAATTAAACGTTTTATTTTATCTAAAGAATTAAACTTTATTTTGCAAATAGGTAGGTACTTATTAAACTTTTATTGGTTATATATAACCAATAAAATAAACATCTTACATTTCTTGCAAATTCATTAGTACCTGTTAACCTCCATCACTCCGACACTGGCAACCTTATTTACGGATTAGTAACCCTCACAACTATTGTATTCTATTCTGCTCCAACCTTTATACCTGGTGGTCATACTCAATTTAAAATTGTTTTCCTATATACTTCTGTAAACTTGTTGACAAATATCTGTTTTTCATTGAGTCACCCGTATCAACAGTTTAGGGATTTGCATACATAATTTATTGTTTTATTACTCTCTCATACATAAAAATACACTATAGTAGCACAAAATGTGATGTATAACAATTTTTCGGAATAATGGACTTAAAACAATTTCGGTTGGGATTTTCTGAAAATTTAATTTTATCTGTATGGGTTTATAAATGTCTATAGGAAAGATTAACAGTAATTTATGGACATAATTATTAGGAATCAAATAGACTACATTTTAGTAAATAAAACAATCCAAAACAGCTTTACACATGGACGTATAAACACAGATGGACTCAGTTATTTACATAAAATTGTGAAGTCAAAATTATTTGAATAGGTCACATTCTGAGTACCTTCAACTGTTGTCACGTTTTGTTTTAAAATTTCTTATTCGCGAGTCGCTGAAAATATTACTCCGTATTTTATACTCTACAGGTGCTATCAAACCAAAATAATAATTTATTGGTTATATTAATATATTTAATTGTAATCAAAATATCAAGTGTGCACATAGTGTGCATTATCATTTAATAATAGCGTATAATAGATATCAATCAATTATTTTATATGTAGAAGCACTGAAAACTATTTATAAATGGCAACGGTTGTTTACATTTCTCTGTCTTATGGATCTACGTCAAACTTCAAATGCTGTTCCATGTTTGTTTACTTTTTAGAGTAAATGAGGAAAAAGTTATTTTTCGATATTTTGGCTGTATTTTGAGTGATATTTGTGAAAAGTGAAATAAAATAAACGAAATATTTACATCCCGATCTCTCATTTCATTTGTAAGTACATACAATTTACATTATTTAAGATGAGGAAGCGTGTTTGTTTACATTTTAATAGGCGTACCATTGGGTTTATTCATGTTCATTAATGTATTGAATAAGATATGAGTTCATTAAAATTGTAGACATTTATAAATTGTAAGTAGACATCATCTGATTAAAAAAGATCTGTTTACTACCTTTTTAATTTAATATTTCTCATGGATACAAATAAATTAGTGAAATGAATAAAACTCATTTATTTTTCTATGTAGGTTTTCAAATAATATTGACGATCGAACTATTTGGGTAGCAAATTAAGGAGAAAACATAAAGATTTTTTATTGTAGAATTATTTTGATACTATTAATAAATTAACTTGAATTCAACTATATTTAATTGTATTAATTTTAAAGCAAATAAAATTGTATTTTAATTTTTCTATAAAGACGTGATTTGTTAATAGTTAAACTCTCGTTTTTTTTTAATTCTTTGAACGTGTTTTTATACATTATTACTACTTCCAATTTTTAAAATCTGAATAATTACCCGCGAGTAAAAATTCAAGCACGCTTATGCTCATCGCGGAAGCATCACATTCTATCGAAGCTTCAAAACAATGTGTGTTAAAGGTATCTTATTGCTGTGTCCATCTATGTTTATACGTCCATGGCTTTACATCTGTCAAGCCTTATCCTGGAGCAGTCTTGTAGACCGACCACGTTCCACTGGTGGGAGAATTTCATGCGTAGACCTCGAGGTCTACGAGGAGTTATGTACACATCTCTAACAGTAAATATACAAGAATATTCTAATAATAAATCTCTTTTACCTTTTGTATATTCTGTCAAGGTTATCCTATCGGACTTTGAATCTATTTAATATAAAGCAAGGCTGTGTGTAAAAATAAGTGTATGTAATCCAAACATAACTGCTCGTGTCGTGACTCACTTTTGACAACATATATCTGTGCCCCGGAGGTAAAGGACACTGTGTCAATATTTTTACTTTTTCAGGAGAGCAGTTTTAACATTTTTTACATTTGTAATCAGTTAATACTTAAATGTTTCTTATATTTAACCAAGATTAATATATTATTATTGTTGTATCTATAATCGTTTTTCCTTCCATGAAGTGTTAAATACCTAAAGTTTACCGTTGATTATATAAAGTTTTTTAGAAAATGTGTAGTTGGACATAGCGTTGTCTACTAACAAAATTTTTAAATAATGTGACATTGCATGTTAAGGTCTCTACGAAATAAACAAGACAAACACATTAAACAGCCCTTACTATTATTTTATTTAGAGACAAATATTATAATGTTATAATAATTGAGTAAAATTATAGAAGAAAAGTCTCAAAATTGTTAAATTATCATCTTCTTGGGGGTTTCGTTTGTGGCTACATCGCTATGTGTTAAATTTTGATAAAACGCATGACAAACTGACGGAACAAAGGGCAATAGTGTATTTATTTAAGTCATTGTACTTTTGTTTTTGGTAATGGGATTACTGAGACTTGATTTAATTGAGTTACTGGTTGTCTTCGATACCTCATGTCCCCCTCATACATTTTTTGATTATTGAAAGCAGTCTTATAAAAGAGTTTTCCAATGTGTTCTTTTTGGACTTGTAGAAAAACATATGTTAACACTAGAACAGGCTCATTTTTAACATTATTTTGTCTACTTACAAAAGGAGGATTAGGTAACAGTTTCTTATTGAACGGCGTTTTGAAGTTTTTGAAATCTGCAAGTTCCATATTATACACTCTGTATTTACCTAATGTGTACCTAATTAGCTGATGCTAGTTTCATGGTGTTAAAGAGTCCAAATTGGAGAGTTTCTTTTTGTTTCTTTCAATCAAAGCATGAACACTCTCTGCTTTCATATGTGGGTGCCCTTTCAGTAAAAACTTTTGAATGATCGTCTTTATTTGGGGGTATGTATGCAGTATCCAAAAATATCACATTGTAATACTTATATTTTTATTTTGTCCATACAGTTGTCGGTCCTATGTATTGTGTATTGTCAGCCTATTTCAAAATTGACGAGGCAATTTTATTTCACCACGGCCCCTTTCAATTCGTCCCACATCATACATTGTACAAAAGAATCACTGGCATCATATAATGTAAAATTTAATGTCCAAAGCTTTCTGTTGTAAAAACTAATACAATTGTTTGTTAGTGGTGAAGGCAAACATTTTTGCAAATCATCAGATAGTACCTACTTTCTGTTTTGGTGACTCTAGCTATTATAAAGTAAAAAAATTTTTCAGTTATACCGAGTTTTATATTTAATTAGGTGAGCATCATGATCGCTACTGTACTGATAGTAGTGTACTGATTTGTAGACTACTGGTTAGTTCATCTGCAATAAGATTATTTACTATTTAGGGTGGTTTAAACGTCAACTTAAAGTCTTTATTAAAAATATCTGCGTACAACCACATTTTTTCTCTTAGCTTTGGATCCACATGTCTTTCATTGCATTCATCAATGTATAGTTGATACATCTTTTCTATTGTAATTTTTGTGCCCAGATAATTTCTTTTGCTCCTTTCTCTGGAATAATGACTCTCGTAATTTGGGACAGAATTGATATATTGATGTATGCTATTCACGGTCGACATATGTCGACACATGAGGAGGTCAATTGCTTTTTAACATCTAAAATGTTTGTCTCAGTCCAGTATGAGTTGAAGATTTTTGGTCTTTCATATTCTGGCAATCTTTCAACGCATATCATGCGACACATGCGAGGAGGCTTTAACATTTTTGCAGGCATGTTTTCGCCTCTTTTACTGAGATACTCTTTCCCACCAGCTAGTTTCCGTTTGCGAACATTACAGGCCCAATTTCGTTCATTCACTATACGTTTTTTACCTGTTTATTTGCACTTAGTTATATTTTGTACCTTTCTTTTGACACTTTTCTTCTCTTCTTTTAAAATAACTTCATTATGTTCATTGGAATTGCCTGCATCACTGCTTATTGATAAATGGGATCCATTTTTTTTACCAGGGTACATAACACTATGTCCGAATGATAAATAAGTGCACACATTTAGTAGAGGTAAACAACACCATTACCTCTGACTGGAAGTGAACATGGTGTTTATTAAAAAGTAGACAATTTGCCGTAAAATTGTCTCTGGACATAGTATGGTTTACCTTTGTGTAGAGCCAGAAAAGTTATATTCAAAAGTGCAATAATCCCAATTTTGATAAAAATGGACATAGTGTCCTTTACCTCCGGGGTACAGATATAAGATATTCTGTATAACATTACAATGTAAGAGTTTATACCCTTACTGTACAACACGTTAGGAACATATGATTTGTATGTTTGGATTTTTACAATTTAGATGTCATAATTTTGATCTGATAGAAAATATTATTCATTTTATATAGCAGTTATATGAATTTTGTGTTGATACAGTATATTGATGAATTTTAGATTTGATATTTACGTGTATTTTTATTATCCTTTTGGTCCTCTTACTTGCAAATGCAACAACAGAGAGATATTGAGCCACGAGAATACAGCATGAGACAAATTGAGTTATAGGTAAGGTTGTTGAAGAAATATATTAAAATTTTTTTTATTTAATTAATGGCTTTGGATAACTTTATTCATTTAGCCATATATTATAATTTAAAAATTCATATTTTTCCTTACCATAATAATATACATATATATATATATATATATATATATATATATATATATATATATATATATATATATATATATATTGTTACGAACATGCTTTCGGCATGGCCATGTAACGGATGCATCTCGAAGGATCGAGAAATTACCGGTCATATATCAAGCGCTGTAAAATTCCACCCGTCGTCAGATAACGAATTAGAGATGGGACTACTCCTGAATATTCTCGAACATAGTAACTTTGGTATATATAGGTAACGAAATTAGGAGTTAAGTTTAGTTGATAAGAGAATATCGAACTGTAAAGTTATAAATAAATATATTTATATAAATTCGAACCGCTCGTTTTATTTAATCACGCTACAGTTGGTGTCACCGTGTGAGGACAATTGATTTATTTAAAAATAAATTGAACAGTGAAAAAAGAGACTTTTGAACTTTTGAAAAGTATTGTTCGTCGGGAACATCCGCGTAGTTCGGTAGTGATCGTTGTACGAAAGAACATTTAAAAAGTACGTGTGTGCCCGACCAAAGATGCTGCTAGTACAACTTTCAGTAAAACAGTTGCGTGAGCAACTAGAAGAACGCGATGAAGATTGCAGCGGGTCCAAGAAGATCCTCCAAGAACGACTAAAGAATGTTCTTAATAAGAATGGAGATGACCCAGAGACATTCCAGTTTCAATCAGCAGAAGAAACAGTTTTAACAAAAATGAATGAGAAATTTGAAAACGTCTCTCAAATGATTGACGAATCTTCAAAAAAAAATGATAATAAATTCGAAAATGTGTCTAGAAGATTCGACGAGAAATTTGAAAATGTCTCGCAAATGATTGAAGAAACTTCTAAAAAAAAATAATGATAAATTAGAGAACGTTTCCAAAAGATTCGATGAGAAATTCGAAAATGTATCTCGAAGATTCGACGAGAAATTTGAAAATGTTTCTCAAATGATGGAAGAAACTTCTAAAAAGAACAATGAAAAATTTGAAGAAGTTTCTAAAACATTTGATAAGATACAGAAAAATGTAAACGACAAGATAGAAGACGTAGAAGAGAAGATCAAACAGTTAGAGAGCATGATAACTAACACAAAAATGCTACCACTAGTTAACACAGTAGCTTTAGATCCGGTAGTGAAAGAAGAATCACCTAGAGACGAAATGACACATCATATGAGATTCAAATTGCCACCATTTGATGGAAAGTCCTCTTGGTCCATATACCTTAGACAATTTGAAGCTATTGCGACAGCCAATCATTGGACAGAACAAGAAAAAGCCGTTTCCTTGACTGCTGCTTTACGAGGTGATGCTACAGATATCCTAAGATCGATTCCTAAGGGTCAAGAAAAATGTTACCAGACCTTGTTTACTCGACTAGACAAACGTTACGGAGATGCCCATCTACAACAAGTCTACAAAGTACAAATAAGAAGTAGAATTCAACGAGCAAGTGAGAGTTTGCAAGAATTTGAAGCAGATATTGCTCGTATAGCGCTGTTGGCCTATCCAGAGGTACCAGACAACATTTTGGAAGAAATTGCTGTAGATGCCTTCGTCAATGGGTTGAGAGACAGTGAACTACAGAAAGCTTTACGACTAGCAAGACCGAAAGTTTTAGATGAGAGAACATGAGATAGCTAGTCGAGTTTCACGGAGCTATCAAGTACGAACCTCTGAAGAAAGTGACGAACGAAACGATAAACGTCTAGAGGAAATCGTACGGAAAGTAGTTCGTAACATGATGCCAAAGAAACGTGAACCCAGATGTTGGAATGGTAACAACGAAGGTCACATTCGCCACAAAGTGCAAGAAAATAATACAACAGTCAGAAAGCTAGAACAGATCGAGCACTGGGCTGGAAAAAGTCATTCAAATGCTTATGTTCAATCAAGACGGCCATACAGTGCAAATCGTAATCATTGTCTTGAATTAGAAGAACGATTTTGCCCCGTTAGGCGAACCACCGTTATTAATGACCAATGGCAGCCTCAACAGCTACAAGACGCCCAAGCAGATGATCCATGTATAAAAAGAGTATTGGATTGGGTGCGTTGAAGTGAAAGAACTTCTTGGCAAGACATTAGTGCATGTAGCCCCGAAGTCAAGTGTTACTGGAGCCAATGGAATTGCCTAGTGCTGAAAGATGATCTTCTGTATAGAACCTTTGAGAACGATGATGGTACAGAAACTAAGCTTCAGTTGATTGTACCTAAAAGTAAAGTGTCAGAAGTATTGCGTCAGTTGCATGACGGTGCATCAGGTGGACACTTTGGTATTACGAAGACTCTGCAAAAGGTTCGAGAACGGTTCTATTGGGTGAACTGTAAAGATGATGTAAGAAGATGGTGCCGGAAATGTGAACTGTGTGCAACTAGTAATGGTCCAGTTGGTAAAAAGAGGGCACCCATGAAACAGTACAATGTTGGTAGTCCTATGGAGAGAGTAGCAATCGACATTGCAGGTCCACTTCCAGAGACAAATGATGGAAATAAATATATCCTGGTAGCCATGGATTATTTTACGAAATGGACTGAGGCGTATGCGTTACCAAATCAAGAAGCTGCTACCGTTGCAGAGGTACTTGTTAAAGAATTCTTTAGCCGATTTGGTGTTCCCTTGGAGATCCACTCCGACCAAGGGCGAAACTTCGAGTCAAACCTTTTCCAAAACGTTTGTAAATTGATTGGTGTCAATAAGACCAGAACGACACCCCTGCATCCTCAATCAGATGGAATGGTCGAGAGGATGAACCGAACGATGGGTAAACACCTGTCCAAAGTTATATCAAACCATCAAAGAGATTGGGATCAGCACATTCATTTATTCTTAATGGCATACCGCTCGGTCGTGAATGAAACTACAGGCCAGACTCTAACCTGCCTGATGTTAGGTCGTGAAGTTCGTTTGCCCTGCGAACTAGAGTTTGGCTGCAGACCTTCCGAAGAACATGTTGCAAGCGAAGATTATGTCGATCGTCTGAAGTTAAGAATGAACAGCATTCATGAACTTGCCCGACAACACATCCAGTTAGCCAGTGACAGAATGAAAGATCAATACGATTCTCGATGCAAGAATGAAAGCTATGAAGTAGGTGATCTTGTTTGGCTTTATAATCCACAACGTCGTCGTGGCTTGTCTCCTAAACTGCAAAGACAATGGGAGGGTCCGTATGAAATTAAAAAGAGAATAAATGACGTAATATACCGAATTAAGAAGTTGCCGAAAGGTAAACCAAAAGTAGTTCACATAAATCGTCTTGTCCCTTATGCTGGCTCAAATGAAACCGAAGAAGTCCGAACCCTTCAACATGAGATCAAAGATAAACGGCGACCAAGCTTTAAGGAGTTTATGTCAAATTACGCAGAGAGAAAGAATGCTAGATTCGGCGTGACGACAGAAGTTCAGCAGGATCTTTTTAGTGTTCCGCATAACGTCTCTCTAGTCCACTGTGTTGCCCAAGATCTTGAAATGACTAAAGGAATCTCATCCGTATTTTATAAAAAATTTGGACGCTTGGACGAGTTAAAAAACCAGCAGCCTAAAGTTGGAAGAGTGCTGAGATTAGAAGATGGTTCTCGATCTTTGCTGTATATGGTGACCAGGAAGTCGTATACAGACAGGGCAACCTACGAGGATATATGGTGTGCTCTAACTAATTTGAAGAAAATCGTCTGCAATTACGACATTAAGAATTTGGCTTTACCCAAGATAGGCCATGCACTAGATAATCTGGATTGGAAGATTGTCAGAAGCATGCTTGAAGTGATCTTCCGAGAAACCGGTGTAAGAATTACTGTGTGTTGCATTAATCCGAAGAGATCGTGTCCTTCAAAGACAGTAGACTGTTATTTCTTTCTGAGGGGTTCATGCAGAGCTGGAGAGTTCTGTAGATTCCGCCATCCTGGGCCTATATATAGAGTTGCTGATCGGGACGCTCAGATCTAAGAGGAGAGCAGTGTTACGAACATGCTTTCGGCATGGCCATGTAACGGATGCATCTCGAAGGATCGAGAAATTACCGGTCATATATCAAGCGCTGTAAAATTCCACCCGTCGTCAGATAACGAATTAGAGATGGGACTACTCCTGAATATTCTCGAACATAGTAACTTTGGTATATATAGGTAACGAAATTAGGAGTTAAGTTTAGTTGATAAGAGAATACCGAACTGTAAAGTTATAAATAAATATATTTATATAAATTCGAACCGCTCGTTTTATTTAATCACGCTACAATATATATATATATATATATATATATATATATATATATATATATATATATATATATATATGGTGTAAACTTACAGTGTAAACTGTTCTCAAGTTGTTTTCCCATCTTTGAGCGGCTGCTCTCATGTCGTCAAATCTTAAAATTGTTGCTGCTGTTGGTGGTGGGCCGTTCTTGTCACTTCCTACAATTCGTCTGATCATTGCTCGAAATGAATTAGAAACTAAAAAGTAAAGGTAAATTCGTTAATAAGTACCTATATTCTATAGCGATGTGTCTACATTGCCCAGTGAATTTTTTACAGGATATTTAAATAGTCAAATAGATTTTACGTTATTACTTTTTCTTCACCTGAAATAGTCAATACTTACACTCTCTTACTTCGCTGTAGTCACTATATTGACTGCGAACTCCAGTCATCAACCTCGCGAATGTTAATCCTAACTCAAGGACGTCGAATGAAGGTTTAATTTTGGCGAGATTTCTTGTGACTACGTCATCTTTGGTTGTTGGCTTCGGCTTTCGTGAGATTTTTGTGCTTTCAGGTTGCTATAAAATAAGTTAAAATTTTAAGTTGTTGAGTATAGTATAATGAAATTTACATCTGGATTTGGCTTCAAAAAGTATTGAAAATTAATTACACTTTAAAAACAATCAAAAAATAGAACTGCTGAAAGAGCAGCACTATTGCAAAACAGGAAATATTTTTTTATTTTTTTTTATTGAACGCAAATTTACAATCTAGTCCTTAAAATATATAAAAAAAAACAATTTAGGGTTTTAGGAGCTGTCGTCTCGTGATGTAAACAACACTACAACAATACTAATTGGTTTTCATAATTCTATTCTTGCACTTTTCTCCTCGTGATCGAATTTCATCATTAATGCATAGGTTTTTTCAAAAATGAATCTATTACTAAGTTGGAGATGAACCAGGGCGCGTTTATCATGGTGCGTAGGGTTTTAAACTGTATTGTTTGGTATTTGCTCACTTGGTGCATCTGCAGAGTTCAATACTGTATACTTAAATTGGCTTCAAAATTGCCTTATATCCAGTTACTTTTCTAGCAATTGATAATTGTAACTGTTTTGTGATAAGCCAATACCAATTCATTTGTCTAGTTTTAAGACCTTTACGTGTGCTCTCCAAGTAAATTTTTCGTCTTAGTGAAGTCCTAGATATTTTAGTTCTGATTTTATGGGAATTACTGTATTGTTAATGAGGACTTGAAGATATTTGTTACGCCTTATGGTAAATAAAAGATGAGTAAAAGGTAATTTGAATATAAAAAAAAACACAGAAGTTAACCCTTTCAGACCCAATGTCCATTGCAATGGACATACATTTACGTAAGCCCTAAAACAAAATTAAACTCTTGTAAATTACTGACAACCACATATTTTTTATTTTGCACATCTTAGTTACTACTATTATAGTCTTAAAATTTTTAGTTTAGTTTTAACCATATCCGAGTTAAGTACTTTTAAAGATAGTGTGACATAGCGAATTCACGATACCCGGAAAGCGTAAGTAAATATCATGTTTCTTCAAGTCGTAAATTTATTATATGTAACCAAATATTAATTTATGTAATAGTAGACATATAAATTTTTATACTGCTTATTCGACATAGATGATTTATTGTTGTTTTTTGTCGATATCAAACATTAAAATATGATGTCCATTGCAATGGACTACAGGTCTATGTTGATATTTTTGTTTTAGGTTCTAATCCGGATAATCCAAAAGACCATGAGATTCTAAGGTTCTTTTTAGATGATGACGATGAATTTGAACAATTAGCTAATAATGTTTTATCTCAAATTGAAGATCAATGAGACATAGAAGATGTCTGTAATGAAGAAATTGATGCGGCCATTCCTGTTTAATTCTCAACTCTATAAGAAAATATATACTTTGTTGGAATTATAAAAATTGACAGATTCCAGAAACCTCCATTTACAACAGAAAAACAATTACAAAAAAAGAAAGGAGAAATAGAGAAGAAGTGGCAAATAATAAAGGAACTGTGGTTTTATGCAAATGGCAAGATAATAAGTCTGTGCTAGTAGGTTCGAATTTTGTTGGAAAAGAAAATAAGACTTAGAAGAAAGATGAGATAAGAAGCAAAAGAAAAAAATAATGATTCAGAGATCGCAAGCGATTCAAATATATAATAAATTGGGAAGGTGTAGATTTACTAGATCAACTATTGCCATATAAAATATAATCTTTATCAAGTAAAAAAAATGGACATTGAGTTTAATCTTCCGTGCCTTTGATTTTGCGTGTGCCAATAATTGAATAGAATATAAAATCTAGCAGCTTAGTTTACTTTCCAAAAATAAAATGGATTTGTTAGATTTTAAAATACAAATTGCTGAGGCGCTAATTAAAGTGGGAAAACAAATAAAAAGAAGAATTGGTCGTCAAAAAATGTCCTATGAGAATTGTCCCCACACTCCAGAGTGGAAATTAGACCATTGGAGGAAATGAGTATGGATAAAATAGATCATTTAGCCGAGTATGGCAACAAAAAGGAAGCATCCAGATGCAAAAATGTTGGGTGTAAATGGAAAACACATGTTTTTATGTTTTGTAAAGAACAAAAATTGTTTCAAATATTTTCATTTAAATTTACTCAACATTTGCTTGGTAAAAATATACTATATTTAATAGAAATATTATATGTGAATATTTTTCTAAATTCGTATTATAGTCCCAATGTCCATTACAATGGACATTCTGTCAAACGACTACCTGTTACACAAAAATGTCAAAAAGATGATTTTAGCATATTACAATCTTTCCTTAAGAAAATTCAAAAGAAAAATAATTTTTTTTTCTGCATAGAAAAAGTCAGGTCTGAAAGGTTAAAACACTTCACAATGGTGTATTTTGGTATAAAAACATACAAGTACTTAAAAACTTTTTAAAAGTGTCGTCAACATTTAAAATTATGGCAGAACGTTTTCAATCTATACAGATCATCTTCAGTGTCTTTGGTATTTGGTGCTAACAATATGGTGTCTATAAGACTTCCATGTGTTGGTTTAAAAATTTATCACAATTAAATTTAATCACATTTAATTTATCAAAATTAAATTTTGGTCTGTGTCGTCGTTTCAACTGACAAGTACCACGTGCAAGTATTCGAGCTTAAGAGACATGTAGTCCCTAAAGTAAATTTTAATTTAAAACCAATTCCATTGTCATCGACCTAGACTCTCAACATTATTAAATGTAAAATGTGATAAATTTTTAAACCAACACGTGGAAGTCTTATAGACACCATATTGTTAGCACCAAATACCAAAGGCACTGAAGATGATCTGTATAGATTGAAAACGTTCTGCCATAATTTTAAATGTTGACGACACTTTTAAAAAGTTTTTAAGTACTTGTATGTTTTTATACCAAAATACACAATTGTGAAGTGTTTTAACTTCTGTGTTTTTTTAAACGATGGTATACAGCCAATTACGGGGTTTTTCCCATTAATTTTTAATTTGAATATGTTTAAAATAATATATAGCTGTGTAACAGTGTTTCAGGGGGCTACGTTACATACACATGACATGACAGATTGACATGTTTTGATATTGATAAGACTGTAAAAAAATATAAGTTTAATTAGTACAATATTGTTTAACTTATAAACCCTTAAAATATAAAACATGTAATGTAGTATAAAACATGTAATTGAAAAGATCCTAACTGCTACAGAGAATTAAGTGCCCTACCTACTTTCGGGAGATTGTTTGGAAAGATAATACATGGAAAAATACAAGATGATGTAGGACATCTAATTAGCGAAGATCAAAGTGGATTTACGCCTGGTAGATCTTGCACTAATAACTTGTTTATACTCCAACAATTAATAGAAAAAAGAATAGTGGTTGGTACCGAAGTACATCTAGCCTTCATCGACCTAGAAAAGGCGTACGATACAGTTCTAAGACTTAAATTGTGACAAGCTTTACAACAACTCGGTATTAGTCCATACCTTTTAGGAATAATCATAGAAGTATACAGGGATAACACTATTTACCTAAAAATCGGAAAGAGACTATCAGACCCAATAAAAGTAACCAAACGACTAAGACAAGGATGCAGTATATCACCCTTACTGTTTAATTTATATATTGAGGCAGCCCTTCAAAATTGAAAAAACCACTGTCAGGGAATGGGAATCCCCATAGGAAATGATGTACTCCCTGTGACTCCCTAAACTTTGCGGATGACCAAGGCGTCCTAGCTTAAGATTTTTGTGATCTAGAATTTATGATAAAGCGTCTATACAGCGAATATGTAAAATGGGGGGTACAAGTCAACATGAAGAAAACAGAATAGTTAGTTATCAATTCAAATGCAAGGTGTGAAGTGTTGATAGACGAGGACGTGGAAATCAAACAAGTGGAAAAATTTAAATATTTAGGTGCACTCATTGATAAGAACGGCTTGGGAAAAACCGAATTAATCAGGGACGTAAAATTGTAGGATTGTTGAATTCCTTATGGTGGAATCGCGGCATTTCGAAAAGAAACAAAAAAGAATAGGTCAAACCATGGTTGAATCAGTTATTTGTTATGGCTCTGAAATATGAACAATTATTGCAGACCTGAAGATTGTTGGCAGTTGAAATGGATTATTTGAGAAGAAGTACTAGAACATCAAGGCTGGAAAGGAAGACCAACGATTCTATAAGAAATAACATGATCGCTACAGAAACGGACATTGACAGAATAGAAAGAAGAGGTTCAAAATGGTTTGGACGCCTATTGAGAAGGTTTCGAGAGCCTAGTGAGGTTTCGTTGCGTTGTGCTGTTCGTCCGTTTCGTGGTTCCGATAAGACTTGTTTTCGAATGCCTAGCAGGCGTTTGCATGGATGGTTTAAGCGTCAACTTACCTCCAACCTAATTCAAGTTAAGAACGAGAAGTTGAACTGGAGCGGTGTCCTAAGGCCAGTTTAGCGAGGACAGAAACCTTCCGTAGAGCAAAAGGAAAAAAGCTGGTTTGATCCTAATGTTCAGTATGCATATAAACTGCAAAAGCATGGCCTATTGAACCTTTTAGCTTAAAAAGTTTTCAGCAAGAGGTGTCAGAAAAGTTACCACAGGTATAACTGGCTTCTGATAACGAGCAGAATTCGCCAAGCGTTGGATTGTTCACTCATAAACAAGAAAATGACAAGGTGATGGTTCGAAGCTATCATCCCTAGGTTTATGCTTGAACCCGCGGTTCCAACCTCCGATTATGTCTCACGAGCCCTTCTTTTCGTTGAGATTATCGGTTTACGGTGGGATCGATCCTTGCCAGTAGGCCAGGCGGAAGAACATGGGTATTAAAATATTTTCGAATTTGAACTCTGAATTGTCTGTAGACGACTGACCTACCTGGCAGGGTATAGTATCTGGTAGAGCAGTTTCCACGCTGCGATCTATTAAGACCTCAGTTTGGGGATTCGTTTTGTCGGTTAGACTAGACCCCTGGTATATACTTAAAACATCCGTAATCTGAGCGTACCTGCATACAACAGTTAATAAGTGAGGTAATTAAATATACCCCCACAACGTTTATTATATTCTGTTGGGAACGTATTATTTCCTCACTATTTGATGCGGTAAGTCTGCGATAGATGAATAGTGAATAGTTGCAATAGAATAATAAGCAATTTTAAACTCTTGAATAAAGTGCAGTATCTCTCAAATCCTCTAAAATTCACGTAGGTACCTCAAACAGACCTAACGCTTATAATTAAAAAAGTCAAAGTCATAGTTGTAGATCGAGATACAAAACAATCAATCTAAATTAAAACTATGTAGTTGCAGAATACAAGAGTTAACTTAGACTCCATCGTAACAAGTAAGGCGTTACAAACGAAATCCTTAAATGTATGCTGTAAAAACAAACAAAGTGCTCGGACTAACTTCAAATGATATGAAAACTACCAACAACAAAAAACTACATTTCTTGACGAAAATAACATTTGCTACACTTAATTATATGCGCCAAAAGACTGAAGATCTGCTGTTGTCATATACCAATTTTTTTGTTGTGCTTATACCAATTTTTTTGGTAACTTACCACATTTAAATCAATCATCGTTCCAAAATCTGCCAACTTGAAGTATGTACCGTAAAGCATTATATTAGAAGCTTTTACGTCGCGATGGACTAGTAATTTCTCATGCAGATATTTCAAGGCTTTGCACATATCGTATAAGCTATCCCACAAAATAGGTTCCTGTATAATATTTTTTTTCGAATACTGCATAAGGCTCATTTGGCAAGCCTCCATCTTCATATATACCTCCCCACACTCTTCCCATGCCATATAAAATTTAACGCAGTTTGGGTGGATCCCTACTTTCTCGTTATTACGAATTTCAGTATATTTTATGTGAGAAGGGATCACACGCCTAAATTCTTTTAAAGCATATTGCGTATGAGTAAATTTGTTTATGGCTTTGTAAACAACTCCAAAATTTCCTTCGCCTATTTTTACAGGCGATCTGTAAATTTGTTGAAGGTACGTTTCATCGAGTGATGTATTATAATGTACATCCAGGTCAACTAAAATAAAAAAACATATTTAATTAATTTTATTAAATACTTAAGTGTTAGACCAGGACTTCCCAAACTGTGCGTCGTGATGCCCTGGAGCGTCTCTGCTTTATCACAGGGAGGTTGCGTGTCAGCGCGGAGTTTTAATACAGAAAATATATTAATTTGATTTTAAATAAGTATAAAATATATGTATAATAAATAAATCAAATAAAAAATATAACATCAAGTCGATGGACCCTTGAATTATCCGAAATTATTTAAAAAATTGTTCAATCCGAAAATGAAATTATTGAAGTGAGTGAACGCCGGGCGCATTCTGTTTCGCCGGTCGGCTCCCCTCCCCCGTGATCCGTTATATCCTTTAGTCAAGCTTTTGTTTTGTTGTATTACGGACGCGGAGTTTTTTGCTATGAACAATGGATATTTATATTTAAAAGAATAGAAAACGAAGTAAAGAATCAGGCGAGAACAGTAATGTTAAATTAAGTAAAAAGAAGAAATACAGTATGATGCAAATGTATGGAATAAATTCAATATTTCAAAAACAGACGACTTTAAAAAAAATATTAAAACATTTCAATTTTAATTTTTTAATGGCCATCAACTGCTATATACAGAGTGGCCCAAAAGTCTGGAAACGACTAATTATCTTGTAAAATGCTAATCATAATTGTACAAAATTTGAGGTACACCTATTTTGGGATACGGAGATTCTATATTTGATATTTACAATGTTGCCAGATTTGCCGTTTTTCTTATATTATTAGTAACTTTGGTTTTTCAAATACATCAGCCTGTATATTCAGTCATTATTGGAATCTCCTACTCAATACGAGTTCAACCATATGTAACACTTATGATTTTATGTAATCTGGAAGGTCATAAATACATAAAACCAAAATCTGGCAACGCCTAAATTGTTTCAATAAATTTTTTAATACTAACTATTTTCAAATACTTTAAAACGTAACAATTGATAGTTTAGAACATTTTTTAACATAGTAGTTACGTTATTAAGTGTTCAAAATGTGCTCAATTTGTGAGTTGACAGCACCCTAATCGATGGTAGAAGGCGTCTATCACATTTCTCCATGATTGTCCAGAAATTATTCGAGATGCATTGATAATTCGTTGCCTTAAGTCTGCAAGACTTGCTGGTTAAGTTTTTTAAACTGAATTTTTCAAGTATCCCTAATAAAAATAATTTTTAGGATTGAAATCGGGTGAACGTGGAGGCCATTCAAGTCGACCTTGTCTACCAATTTATCGTCCAGGAAATATCTCATCTAAATATCGCCGAAAATTTACACAAACTATCTGACGTTAAATTTCTTTCGACAAATATGACCCAATTGAATAAGTAACTACTATATCTGACCATACATTTAATTTTTGTGGTCTTTGAGTATGGTTTTCACGCATTCAGTCTTCAGTGTGAATTTACGTCACACCAGTACCTTAAATTGTGTTGATTTACACGTGCACACAGTGTAAAAGTTGCTTCATCGGAAACACATATTCTGTTAACGAAATTTTAATAATTTTCAATTTTATCCATCATTACCTCAGTAAACTCTAATCTACGACCAAAGTCATCTTCACTTAATTCTTGCAATAAGTTAATTTTGTATGATTTAAATTTATGTTTACGGAATAAACGTAAGACTGAAGAATGACCTACATCATGTACTTGTGAACTTTTTGAACCACAACTACTGTCAATTTTAGTTCATAATTTAAATAGTGAACATATATCAAAATCATAGCATTATCCATTTAAATATTTAAATTTATTAAAATCTACATATTTTGCACTGTTTTATGTATTTAAGATCTTTCAGACTACATAAAATCAAGTGAACATATGGTTGAACTCGTATTGAATAGCTGAACTCGTGTGAAATTCACACTAAATGCGTGAAAACCATACTCAAAGACCACAAAAATTAAATGTATGGTCAGTTATAGTAGGTACTTATTTAATTGGGCCATTTTTTATCGAAAAAAATTTAACGTCAGATAGTTGGTGTAAATGTTCGGCGTTATTTAGATGAGATATTTCCCGGACGATAAATTGGTAGACAAGGTAGAATTGAATGGCCTCCACGTTCACCCGATCTCAATCCTAAAGATTATTTTTATTAGAGATACTTGAAAAATTCAGTTTACAAAACTTAACCAGCAAGTCTTGCATAGCTAAGGCAATGAATTATCGATGAATCTCGAATAATTTCTAGACAATCATGGAGGAATGTGGTAGACGCATTCTACCATCGATTAGAGTGCTGTCAACTCACAAATGGAGCACATTTTGAACACTTAATAACGTAACTATTATGTTAAAAAATATTCTAAACTATTAATTGTTACGTTTTAATGTATTTGAAAGTAGTTAGTATTAAAAATGTATTGAAACAATTTAGGCGTTGCCAGACTTCTGTTTTATGTATTTAAGACCTTCTAGACTACATAAAATCATAAGTATTAAATATGGCTGAACTCGTATTTAATAGGAGATTCCAATAATGACTGAATATACAGGGGATGCATTTGAAAAACCAAAGTTACTAGTAATATAAGAGAAACTGAAAATCTGGCAACATTGCAAATACCAAATATGGAATCTCCGTATCCCAAAATAGGCGTATCTCAAATTTTGTATAATTATGTCTAGTAATTTACGAGATAATTAGCCGTTTCCAGACTTTTGGGCCACTCTGTATGTGTTGGACATTATGTCATCAGTGTCGGGGTAATGACGTAATAGACCATTTTTTTAAATACAAACCGAGGTCACGCGATAGCTCATTTGAAAAGTCTCCTTATCGTCTTTGCAACGATGTAATCACTTATATTTATTTCTACAGGGTTCACCAAAATTATGAACTTTATCAAGTAACATGGAATTACAATAAATATTCATTCACTGAACTAAAATACACTAAGATACGCCACTGGGAATAAAACAAAATAGTGTTTTTTGCTGCTTCCGAAAAAAAAAAATACATTGATAACAAACAATGCTACATTATAATCTGAAATTAATTATTGTAGTAAGTATTCCAAGTTATTTTTCAAAAATATTTAAATCAATTTTAATATTGTCATTGACTCGTCTTTATTTGTAAATGATCTATGAATCTGTCAAATAATAGACGTCAAATTTTTACTCTTCGAGTTTTTTGCCGCATTACAAAATATCATTTACAAAAATGAAACTAACAAAAACAGAACGAATCGAGATTTTAATCATGATTGGTTAGGGAGGTGGAGTGAGGACTCAAGCAGAAGTTAGTAATTTATTTAATGCTAAATACCCCAATCGCGAACCAATTACTCAATCAACAGTAATTAAAATTGAAAAAAATTTAGATAAACGGGCCATGTTAACGATCTTCCCAGAAGTGGTAGAAAATCAATATCCGAAGCCAAGAAAGTTGACGTTGTACTGACGTTTCAAGAAAATCCCCATACCAGTTCTAGACAGGTCGCACTAGATAATAATGTCCACCAATCAACTATTGTAAGAGTGCTAAAAAAAGGAGTGAGAAGTGGCAGTCATATAAAGCACATCTGATCTAGGAGCTATTAGAAGATGACTTTGATAGAAGAATCGAATTTTGCGAAACCGTTATGAAAAAATATAACAGAGATCGGGGTTTCATACAAAAGGTACTTTTTTTCTGATGAAGCGTCTTTTGACTGAATGGACACATAAACTGCTAGACATATCGATATTGAGCAAGTCAAAATCCATATTAGATGGAAGAGTATAGGACACAATATCCCGAGAAGGTGAATGTTTTGACCGGCATTATAAACAATCAAATTATAGGGCCATATTTTTTTGGGAAAAACTTAGCTGCTTTGAGTTATCGAGAATTTCTTCAAGATTATCTGTTGCCACAGCTACATCAGCTATTTCCAAATAGAAATAATTTGTGGTACTAACATGATGGGGCTCCCCCACAGTACGCCGTTGAGGTACGCAATTACCTTAATAACGTTTTCCTAGGTAGGTCGATAGGTAGAAGGGGGCCCACCCAATGGCCATCAACGTCTCCAGGTTTGACTCCGTTACACTTTTTTGTGGGGATATTTAAAGAGCAGAGTGTATCAAAATCGAAGAAATAATGTAGAAGAGTTGAAGGAGCGCATCAGAACGGAAATTGGACAAATAACACCTGAAGTCATCGAAAACGTTAGGAAAGAATTTATTGCCCATCTTTCACATTGTATTATTGCTGAAGGTCGTCAATTTAAACATTTCTTATAATTTAATTGTATTTAAGTAAATATTTATTGTAATTTAATTGTATTAATAAACCAACAGTTTTGGTTAACCCTGTAGAAATAAATATTCAAATGATTATATCGTTGCAAAGGCGATAAAAAGACCTTTCAAATCAGCTGTCGCGTGACCTCATTTTGTATTTAAAAAAATGTCGATGACGTCATTACGCCGACACTGATGACGTAATGTCCAACACATATATGTCAGTTGTTGGTCATTCAAAAATTAAAATTGACGTGTTTTAAGATTTTTTTTTAAAGTCGTCTGATTTTGAAATATTGAATTTATTCCATACATTTTTGTATCATACTGTATAGGAAATATGACGACCGATATTTGGATTTTGGATTTAC